GAAGAAGAAGAAGAAGAAGAAGAAGAAGAAGAAGAAGAAGAAGAAGAGTTAGCTTCATGTTGAGTCTACCTCTGTGATTCTCGAGGTACCCCCTTCCTCCCACTACCAGCATGTCCTGAATAGACCTGGTTTAGGTTGTAGTTTCCTGCTGTGGCTTCCTTCCAGTTGGGAGCCCACCTCCTGAAGTTGCTAGAAGTCCTTTTTTGGCCGGCCAGCTGTGCAAACGGCTCTTCATCTACATCAAAGACGCTGGAACTAGAGGACCTAAAAAAAAAGTGCATCAGATTAGTATGGCATGATGACGTTGTCTCTGTTAAGACCGACAAAGCACCTGAAAGGCAGGACAAGAAGCAACGGATGGAAACTCATCAAGGAGAGAAGCAACCTAGAACTAAGGAGGAAGTCAACTAAGCTTTGAATGCATGGCGTGTGGAACTCCAGCCTCAGAGGAAATACACACACACAGGCAGGAGTTTTCCAAGGCTTCCCGCTTTGGCCTCAGGTGCTTTCGTGGTCTCTGCTTTTCCCTTTTCCCTGGGATACTCACCTCCATGGATTTCGTGCTGGCATCTGGGGCTTTTTCACATCAGGGCCGCCAGCTGTTGGGGAAAAGAGGCCTGATTTAGTCCAGATTTCCAGAAAAAGAGAAAAGTTCCCAACCCAAGAACCGCCTTTGAGAAAAAGACTGCAGGGAAGACCCTCCTCCCGTCTAAAACACAGAGAGAAATCCAAAACGATCAGGACGCATCTTCTCCAGAAGCCGACTGTCAGTTAAACACCAGACAAACAAGCAAGCAGAGAGCGATCCGAACCAATGAACTAGCAAGGAGAAAACCCACACCAACACTAGGAAAGCAAGCCACTGTATAGGGAGCAAAAAAAACCCCCACAGTGACTCACACTGATGATGTTACTTGGCTGGGTAATGAAATGTCTGTAAACAAAACCACTCAGCGAGCCCCAAGGATTCCACAGACCAACTCACAGCTATAGTATGGATTCTCTTCTGTGGGCATGATAAACAATGGCGGCCAAATTGTCCTGCCCAACTCACTTTCTCCCCTCTCTGGAACTTCACCATGGACGTCAGCGCTCAAAGCAACAGCCCAGGTCTCCCTCGGTCTTCTGGCCAACGCTGGAGTCTTCTCCGCATCCCTTGGGCCATAAATGACTCCAGGATCCATCCCCAATTCAGGTGGCGTCAGCCTCTCCTTTCCGCCAAGGAGTTTGGCTTTTGGAGGATAGAGAGAGTGAGGATCTTCTCCATCAAGACGTAAGCAGTGATTTCTGAAGCATCCTCCAAGGGTTTCTCCTCCTGGGTGGTCCGTTGAGGACTTCTCAAGATGGCTGGCCTTTGCTCTCCTCGGCGGGACCGTAATTTTGGATGAGGTTCTTCTGGCCTTTTGCCAGGACGATGTAGGATCTCCAACAACCAACTGATGCTTTGAGCTTCTACCGGTAGTTATGTTCTTCCTCGGTTCAGAAGATCGCTCTGGTCCTTTCCCTCCTCGTTCTAATTCCAAGAATCCACTATTCCTAGAGAATCCACCTTCTTCTCTTGCGCTCTGGAGTCTGGCGTGAGGGCTCCTCTTCCATGGCTGGCCTCCCCTTCCTATATCCGTTCCACTGGAGCTCTTGACAGAACAGTTCTGCCTAAGCACAGAGCCTTTTTCTCGTGGGGCTTCCACGTTCTTGACTCCCTGTTGAGGAAGACTCTGGAGGGGACCTTCTCTGGAATGAGGAGCCAATTCTTGGCTCCGTTTCTCCTTGGACGCTTCTGCTGGCCACCGCTGGCTTGTCGACTCCAATCTGGGAGAATCCGAATCAGGGTGGAGAGATCTGAAAGCTGGACAAGGACCAGCCATCTCAGGCAGGATGGTAGCATGAGATGTGGGTGGCCTCAAATCTCTGGGGCCTGAGGCGAGACCAGAAGGTGCCTCATCTTCATCGGAGCTCAGCAGCACATTCACCAGGCCTTTGTGGAACTCATCGGCCAAGTCTTCAGTGCAAATGGACTCTGATCTGCTCGGGGCCTCCTTTGAGTCAGGGAGCTGCAGCTGCCACTCTCTGCAGTCCATCTCCCAAGAGGTCATGTCTCTGTCCCCACCTGCGTTGGTCCCTCCTGGATCTGCAAGGAGAAGGAAGCAAATTGAGGACCTCCGTCTCTGTCAGAACTCATTCCCATGAAATATGATCACCTGAAGTGCCGATACCACTTTATAAGGCCTTGGTAGAACCATATGGCATTCAGTTTTGGTTGCCACAATGTAAAAAAAGATGAGAATAGAATAGAATGGAATGGAATGGAATGGAATGGAATAGAATAGAATAGAATAGAATAGAATAGAATAGAATAGAATAGAATAGAATAGAATGGACTGGACTGGACTGGACTGGACTGGACTGGAATCAGACTAGACTAGACTAGACTAGACTAGAATAGAATAGAATAGAATAGAATAGAAAGAATAGACTAGACTAGAATAGAATAGAATAGAATAGAATTCTTTATTGAGAATAGAATAGAATTCTTTATTGAGAATAGAATAGAATAGAATTCTTTATTGAGAATAGAATAGAATGTTTATTGAGAATAGAATAGAATAGAATAGAATAAGAGAAGAATAGAATAGAATGAATAGAATAGAATAGAATAGAATAGAATAGAATAGAATAGAATAGAATAGAATAATTTATTGGCCAAGTGTGATTGGACACACAGGGAATTTGTCTTTGGTGCAAATGCTCTCAGTGTACATAAAAGAAAAGATCCATTCATCAAGAGTCAAGAGTCATCAGGTGCAACACTTAATGATAGTCATAGGGTACAATAAGTGATCAAATCATACTAGGAAACAGTCAATATAAACCGTAAGGATGCAAGCGACAAGGCAGAGATGCCGCTTTGGGACGGGGATCCCTCGGCTTTCCTGCCAAAGTTGCCCTTCAATTGCGGCTGGACCCAACTTCCTTCGGCCACCCCTTTCCATATCTCGGCCGAGCTTCTCTTTTTTCCCTCCTCCTCCTCCCCCCTCGAACTGCGCAGGGGGGGGGGGGTATTTATTTATTTTATTTATTTTATTTATTTATTTTTATTTGTCAATTGCTTACAAGATAATAGGTATAAGTAAAAACATAGTTATGAATACATGGATGCATATAAGAAAAATTTAAAAAAAAATACAAAAGAAACATTAGCCGCGCACGTGCGATTGGATCCGGTTCTCTGGGCTGGGCCACTTTTCTTCAGGATGGAGAGGACCGACGAGACGCAAGCGTGGGGGCAGCAAGGGAGCAAAGAATCGCGGCGACTCACCGGCTGCTTGCAAGTCCCGCCGCGCATCGCTTCGCCCGGCGAAAAGCTTCGTTTGCAACCGTGGAACTTACCGGGCCGGGGTTGCCTAGCGACCCTGGAACGCGCAGCGGCTCCGGCGCTCCCATTGGCGGAGAGGCTCGTCCGTTGCCTAGGAACGGCCACACGGCGGACTCTCAGAAAGAGCCGCGGGAAGCAACGTGGGGCTGCTGGGGGAGCGGCGCCTTCAGCCCCCCCACCCTCCCGCCCCCTTCCAAGACTGGAGGCTCGAAGAGGCAGCCCGGAAAGTGGTGGGGAAAGTTGGAAGGATGAGAGGTCAACGATCCTCTCGGGGAGTTCTTGAAGGAAGCAAAAATCGTGGAGCGAGGAATGAAACATGAATTCATCCTCTGATCGATCTATCTATCTATCTATCTATCTATCTATCTATCTATCTATCATCTATCTATCTATCTATCATCTATCTATCTATCTATCATCTATCTATCTATCATCTATCTATCATCTATCTATCATCTATCTATCTATCTATCATCTATCTATCTATCTATCTATCTATCTATCCATCCATCCATCCATCCATAATTTCTCTATCATCTTTATCACCTTTATCACCTATCATCTCTATCATCTATCATCATCTATCATCTTTCTCTATCATCTATCTATATCTATCTATCAATCTATCAATCCATCCATCATTTCTATCATCTATCATCTGTCTCTATCATCTCTTTATCATCTTTATCACCTATCATATATCTCTATCTCTCATTTCTCTATTATATCATTTCTTTATCTATTATTTATCTCTATCTTTTCTCTATATCTCATTTCTCTATCATCTATTATTTATCATCTATATCATTTTTCCTATCATCATCTCTTTATCATCTTTATCATCTATCATATCTATCCATCCTTCTTATTCTATCCTATCCTTATTATCTGTCTGTCCATCCGTCCATCCATCTTTTCTCTATCATATATAATCTCTCTCATATATCATCTCTTTATCTATTATTTATCATCCATCCATCCTTCCTTCCCTTTGCTTACTTTTCTTCCTTCCAACCCACCTATCTATCCATCCATCCATCATTTCTCTATCATCTATCATCTCTCTATCATATTCATCACCTTTATCACCTATCATCTCTCTCTATATATATATCATCTATCATCTGTCTCTATCATCTCTTCATCACCTTTCTCTATTACCTATCATCTCTCTCTATCTCATTTCTCTATCATGTGTCATCTTTATTATTTATCATCTATCTCTATCTCATTTCTCTATCATCTATCACCATCTTTATCATCTTTCTCTATCATCTATCTACATCTACATCTACATCTACATCTACATCTATCTATCTATCTAATCTATCATCAGTCTCCATCCATCCATCCTCTAGATCAGAGGTTTCCAAACTTGGCAACTTTAAGACTTGTGGACTTCAACTCCACATAGCTAGCTGAGGAATTCTGGGAGTTGAAGTCTACAAGTCTTAAAGTTGCCAAGTTTGGAGACCTCTGACCTTGGTGTTAAAACCGACTTGAAGGCACACAATCAAGACCAATGTTTGGTATTGGCTTCATGCCCTTATCCAGCCAGTTGCGACTGTAAGAAAGCCAAGCAGCTCTAATTTGACCCGATTAAACCTCTGATGAGAGACCACCAGGAAATCCAAAAGCCAAAGGGTAGCTTGGGAAGTTGGAAAAACGTCTGAGTTGAGGTCAAACTTTGTTTCGGTCTACGGGTCATGAACAGTCATGAAAAAAGACAAGCCAAGCAAGAGAGCCCTGTATCTTTTATTGTTAAACATAATTAAAGCTGAATTGAGAGAAAGAGACAGGAAAACATCACATCCGCTTAAGATTTTTACAATATAAGAAGATCAGGAAGAGAAAAAAAACCCAGAAATGCTATAGTTCGCGGCTCCCAGTTTTGGAGGGTTTTTGGAGGGGGATGCTGGAGAGACGCAGAGGCGATCCTGTTGAAGAACACAATCCTTGCAATGTGGCTTGGAATTGCTTTGAAGGTCCAGATGCATGTCTTCGCTCCCGGACATGCTACATTGTCTAATGAGAGCTGTTGCAAAAAAATATATATCCCTAGCTGGACACAGAATAGACACCATGATCAAATCCACATTTCTGCAATGTAGGTTTCCTATCCCGTAATAACCTCTGGACAAATGGGTTAACCCCGTGTGTCTCAAGCTCAACAATTTTAAGATACGGGAGGCCTTCAGCTCCCAGAATTCCCTAGCCCAGAGGTCTCCAACCTTGGCAACTTTAAGACTTGTGGACTTCAACTCCCAGAATTCCCTAGCCGACGTTGGGCATTGAAGTCCAAACATCTTAAAAGTTACCAAGGTCGAAAAACATTGGATTCAAAGATGCGGGTGTTGCCGTTGTACAGAATACAGAATAAAATTGAGAGGCAAGTAGAATAACAGAGTAACAGAACAGCAGATTTGGAAGGGACCTTAAAGGTCATCTAGTCCAACCCCCTGGCTCAGGCAGGAGATCCTATACTATTCTGGACAAAAGGGTCTCTCCTTTAAAAAACAACCTCCAGTAATTTTAATTTATTTTGTTTGTACATCGTCTAAACTGCCTCGAACTGAAAACGTCCTTAGGCAGAATAACAGAGTTGGAAGGGACCTTGGAGGTCTTCTAGTCCAACCCCCGCCCTGCCCAAGCAGGGAACCCTAAACCATTCCAGACAAACCAGCTGTCCAGTCTCTTTTTAAAAGCCTCCAGTGATGGAGGGCCCACAAGGCCGTGAGCTTTAAAGAAACCAAAGAAATGATTTCTTCCCTAAATTAAAACCCTGCCTGAGATAGTTGGCATGCAGAGCATTCAAACAGTATCAGGTAAATTCATTTTGTGCCATCGTTCTTCATTTTTCTTCATCCCCAGGAACATTTTTCCTTTCCTTTTTTTAAAGAGAAAGGCTTCCCAGTAGAACATCCCTGCCGACTCAATGATAAATTTAAGCAATGTTTACAATAATCTTCTCTTGTTTATGGGCTCTTGCAGGTGGCATTGCTTGGTACGCCATTCCAGACAGCTTTCTTTTTCCAGAACATTCCTTCTCTGCCAACATTTCCACTCATGCATGCCAATGGACAAAAGGTTTTCCAAGCAAACCTTGGCTTGGAAAAACTCCAGCCTCCGCTCCATGAAGGCCTTCAGGAACCTGACACCATCCTCAAGCTGATGTTTTCCAGATGTGTTGGCCTACAAGCATCCCTCAATCCCAGCTGGAGTTCCTGTTCACCACAGGGAAACCCCTGAGAAGGTCAACACATTCAGAGAATGGGGAGCATAGACATGAATTTTCTCTACAGAAGCATTTCCCAACAAGGGAATGTGGACTTCCAACTCCCAGAACTCCCCAGCTGGGGAATTCTGGGAGTTGGAAGTCCGTACACTAGAACGGTTGCTCTAGAACAAGGGTCTTCAAACTTGGCAAGTTTAAGACTTGTGGACTTCAACTCCCAGAATTCCTGAGCTGGCATGACCGGTGGAGGAATTCTGGGAGTTGAAGTCCACAAGTCTTAAAGCTATAAAGTTTGAAGACCCTTTGAATAGATAGATAAAGAGAGGTAGAATGGATAGAGAGAGAAAGAGATAGAATAGAGGAAAAGAGATAGAATAGATAAAGAGAGGTAAAATAGATAGAGAGATAGAATAGATAGATGGAGTAGATCAAGGGTCTTCAAACTTGGCAAGTTTAAGACTTGTGGACTTCAACTCCCAGAATTC